ATAGACGTTCAAAGGAGCTTTGTTTGATCATCAAAAATGGAAAACTACAAATAAGTAAATTGTGCAGTTATCCACACAGTGGAAGGAGCATACAGGAAAAAGGTGCCACCCACAGATAGACATAATACAAATGACTTTCAGCAACACTACAGGGAGAGAAAGAAGCTAGACACAAGAGGGGAATGTGCTGTGTGATTCCATTTTGTAGAAGTTCTAGAAAAGTGGAATTTACTATTATTTTCTTTTAATGTTTATTATTTTTGAGAGAGAGAGAGAGAGAGAGAGAGAGAGGGGCAGAGTGCAAGCAGGGGAGGGGCAGAGAGAGAGGGAGAGAGAATCCGAAGCAGGCTCCAGGCTCTAGGCTCTGAGCTGTCAGCACAGAGCCCGATGCAGGGCTTGAACTCAGGAACCACAAGATCATGACCTGAGCCAAAGTCAGATGCTCAATGGACTGAGCCACCCAGGCTCCCCTAGAAAAGTGGAATTTAATCCATTGCAATAGAAAAGCAGATCAGTGGCGGCCTGGGAAAGGGATAGGGGAAAGGGGCATGGGGGAATTTGCGAGTTGATGGAAATGTTCTAGATCTTGATTGTGTTGGCTGATGGTTACACGGTGTTCACATTTGTCGAAACACATCAAGTGCTACATTTAAAATGGGCGCATTTCATTATACTTTTTTTTATTTAAGTAATTGCTGGAGGAAGACAACAAAAATCCTGTGTTTTTTTTGGGACTGAAAATCCAAGTTAAAGAGCAGTAAACAATTGAACAATAATAAAAACTCCACACTGAGATGCAATATTTCACCTAACCAGATTGTTAAAAAATCCAAAAATTTCATAACACACTGTGTTGGCATGACTATGAGGAAAAGCACACTCTTACTAATGATGAAAGTAAATTGGAACAACCCCTAGCAAGGGCATTTGGGTAATTTTTATTAAACTACAAATGCTTTGACTTAGGAATTTCCCTTCTGGAATTTTATCCTACAGATAAACTTAACCACACGCAAAATAGTGTATGTTAAAGATTATTATCACAACGTTGTTTGGAATAGAAAAACACACAAAATAATCTAAATGTCCATCAATGTAGACAGATTAAATAAATTATGATACATCCCGTATTATGGAATCATATGTAACTACAAAACCCAGTGGGAAAAGTCTGTGTGTGCTATTATGAAAAGATCCTTAAGGTGTAATGTTAAGTGAATAAAGCAACATTATATTTGATGTTGCCATTTGTATTTTAAAAAGCCAGAGGGGTGCCTGAGTGGCTCAGCCGGTTGAGTGTCTGACTCTTGATTTCAGCTCAGGTCGTGATCACAGGGTTGTGGGAAAGAGCCTTGCACTGGGTTCCACGCTCAGCGTGGAGCCTGCTTGAGAGTCTCTTTCTCTCTCTCTCTCTCTCTCTCTCTCTCTCTCTCTCTCTCGTCCGCCACTTGCATTCTCTCTCTGAAATAAATAAATAAATAAATACATACATACATACATACATACATACATAAGTAAATAAATCTAGAGGCTATATATTTGGATTTTC